GATGGCAATGTATTACAAACGACAAAAGAGATGGCAATGTATCTTTCCATGTTCTTGAGGTGGTGGATTCGGTCTCATTTTGCACAATGTCATGTGGAGAGTAGTGCAGCGAGGCCCATTGTCTGTTGTCCAGAATACGATCGAGCTCTCTCTCTGTTGAGGTCAAACACACAAAAGGAAATGTTGAAACCGACTTGTGTGTTGAGGAGTTTTATAACGAGGATCCTGCTCTGAAGACTCCGAAAAACTCTAAGAGAAAAGATTGACAATTTTGAGTTCAATGCAGAATTTTTGTTTTCCGATATCCATTCTGAACTTTTGAAATTTTGATTCTACTGGGAGGATCATATGGAAACTGTTACTTGGGACTGCTTTGCCGTCTTGAGAAGTCCACAAAGCTGTGTGGACTTGTTACCTTGCTAACCGTGGTGAATGCTGTCGGGAAAAAAAGAAACGAGACTGCTTTGCCGTCTTGAGAATGAGAAGTACTCGCTTTGTGTGGACTTGTTACCTTGCTAACTGTGGTGAATGCTGTTGGAAAACTGTCAGTGTCAAAAAGAGACTGATTTGTCGTCTTGAAAGGGCCATGGCCGACATGCTGCTTAAGGGCCTCGCCGCACCAGTGTCGAAACCCTGAAATATTCGCCAACTGTCAGACCATTTTCGACATTCACGGTTTTCGACACAAATGCCGCCTTCGCCACCGCAGACCCAGGATAAGCAAAGTTTTCTTGTAAGGAAAGGGGGGAGGGGGGGGGGAAGAAGAAGAAGAAGACAGGGGATGTTGAGGCAGCGCCAGTACCATGGCAACCGGCCGGACATCTGGACCGGAATCCAGATGGTCCGGTTGTCTGGGTATGGGTCTGGTGTCTGGTCCGGTAGGTCTGGATTGGGCCAAATTTTGAAAAATTCGAATTTTTTGGGGGGGGGGGTCTGGGACGTTTTTCAGGTCCTAGGACGCCCCCAAAAAATGCCCCCGGTATTTTTTGGCCGTTTCAGGGCCTACCGGATGCCGCCCGACGCTTCCAACAGCTCCCTCTGCTGTTGTACTACGCTGGTAGTTCATCGGATGAGGATGAGTCTGATTCCAAAAATGAAGCGCTGGGCGCCGCTGGCTGCAAAGCGCCACAGAACATCAAGAGAGAGAGAGAGAGAGAGAGAGAGAGAGAGAGAGAGAGAGAGAGAGAGAGAGAGAGAGAGAGAGAGATGATTTTCGTCAGATCTGAGATCTGGTCCTGACCAGATATCAGATCTGTTCTTAGTACTTCTTACACAGATCTGAATAACTTAACAGTTTAAATTTTCAATTTTCATATGAATATGAATAACTTAACAGTTTAAATTTTCAATTTTCGTATGAATATGAATAACTTAACAGTTTAGATTTTCAATTTCCATATGAATATGAATAACTTAACAGTTTAAATTTTCAGTTTTCATATGAATATGAATAACTTAACAGTTTAAATTTTCAATTTTCATATGAATATGAGTTAGAAAGTCTAACTTCAAACTTGAAAGTTCTGTTTTCTTCTGATTTTTATACTCTTTTCTGAAGTGACTTGAAATTGGTCTGTTGAGAACTGGTTTCAAGTGTTGTGTGAGCCTTTGTGAATGTCTGTGACAGTATTGATTCTATTGAGCTGTCCAGTTGTGAATAGTGACGGTCCGGGTCCGGTCCTGTCCGGATTACCAGACGTCTGGACCAGTCCAGACAAATGTCTGGGCCTCGGTCCAGACATGTCCGGGTCCAGGTCCGTGGTTGCCATGGCTAGTACCCAGACTCTGATAGATGTTGAAATCCACACATCCTTCACAACCTCGTTTCCGAGACTCGACCCGCTGCAGGCGGCCCATTCTACACCTATGTCGAAACCACTTCTCCAACGATTGTTGAAGTGTTTTCGACATTTTTCTTCGACAGTCTGTGGGGCGGAGAAAAAAATTAATGTCAAAATCTCCAGTTTCAACAGTGGTGTGGCGAGGCCCTCAGACAAAGGATGCGGAAAGACTGTCCCACTGCTTTCTTTGTTTTTTTTCGAATAGCCGTCAGTCAGGATACTGGCCTGACAACTCTTGAAAATCCATAGACCCTCAAGGTTTGGCAAAGGACACTTGAAAAAGCAAGAGCTGCAGGCAGCCTGGGGTTTTGAATCTTTCAAGAGCAGCTGCTCTTGAAAGGATTTCAAGAGGCTGCCACTCTGACTCTGACAGCTTCTGAGAGCCCCAAGTTTCAAGCTGCTGTGCAGCCAGGCAGCAACTATTGAAAATGAGTTTTCAAGAGTGGTGTGGTGAGGCCCTCTGAGGCCCTCTGGGAGCCCCCACAACTTTCGTTGCTGTTTCTTTTCACAAGGACGGCCATGTGGAAAGGCGCTACTTGTTTAGGGCCTCGCCACACCACTCTTGAAAACTCATTTTCAAGACTCAAGAGTTGCTGTCCTGCGTGGCCACACATCCTCTCTGGAAAGAATGGGCTGTCAAGAGCTGTCAGAGTGGCTCTTGAAACGCTCTCAAGAGCAGAAGATCTTGAAGGACTTGAAACCCCACCCTGCCTGCAACTCGTGCTTTTTCAAGCGCCCTTGGCCCAACCCTTGAGGGCCTATCGATTTTCGAGAGTTGTCAGGCCATTATCCTGACGCCATTGGAAAAAAGACAAGGCTGTACGGCCTTTCAATAGTTTTGGGTGGCCAGGGGCTGTGTAACCTCAATAGTTTTGGGTGGCCAGGGGCTGTGTAACCTCAATAGTTTTGGGTGGCCAGGGGCTGTGTAACCTTTTGAATGCCGTGAACGCGCGTTCACGTTCAAATGTGCGTTTGAACGCGGATTTAAATTCGCGTTCAAAATTGAACGGCGTTCAATTATTTTTTTATATTTTTTATTTTTTGAAAAAACTCATTTCGATGCCTAAAAATAACTTCTGTTTTCTGATTTTTTTTTTATGACTTCTGTATGATGCGAGGTACATGACTCTCAATTTTCGAGTCATTTTGCTAAGGCAAAAAAAAATGAAAAATCGCCAAAGATGGCGGTGTCAAATTGTGTTCGCTCACTAATTTCAATTTTTTTTTTACTTTTTTCTAATTTTTTTTCCAATTTGGTAACGAATTTAGATGTAATGCTCAGGCAAATTTATTTTATTTTTCTTCATAACATATTTTTTTTCTGGATTTTTTTTTTTTTTTTTTTTTTTTTTCCCGGCGTGGAATTGAACTCCGTGTTCGGTCCCGTTCATTGAACGCACATCCATTCCGTTCAGTTTCTGAATGGAAAACCCGCGTTCAATGAACGCGCAGTTTCACAGGCCAGGGGCCTAACAGCCTTTCGAATGAAGGCGTTTTCCGA